GCCTGTCTTCATAGGAGAGGTGCTCTAGCCCTCTCATCATCTTTGTGGCCTGCAAGCGCACATTGCCGGCTCATGTTGAGCTTCTCATCAACCAACACCCTCAAGTCCTTCTTCTCAGGGCTGTTCTCAATCCATTCTCTTCCCAGCTTGTCTTTGTGCTTGGGATTGCCCTGACCCATGTGCAGGACCTTGCACTTGACCTTGTTGAACTTCACGAGGTTCTCACAGGCCCACCTCTCCAGCCTGTCAAGGTCCCTCTGGATGGCATCCCTTCCCTCTAGCATGTCAACCACACAGCTTGGTGTCGTCAGCAAACTTGCTGAAGGTACACTCAATCCCACTGTCCATGTCACCGACAAAGATGTTAAATAGCACTGGCCCCAGTACTGACCCCTGAGGAACACCACTCGTCACTGGCCTCCACTTGGATATAGAGCTGTTGACCACCACTCTTTGAGTGCGACCATCCAGCCAATTCCTTATCCATCGAGTGGTCCATCCGTCAAATCTATGTCTCTCCACTTTAGAGACAAGGATGTCGTGCGGAACAGTGTCAAATGCTTTGGACAAGTCCAGGTACATGATGTCAGTTGCCCTTCCTCTATCCATCAGGCATGATTTCCCTTTAGTGAAGCCATGTTGGCTGTCACCAATCACCTGCTTTTTTTCCCCATGTGCCTTAGCATAGTTCCCAGGAGCATCTGCTCCATGATCTTGCTGAGTACAGAGGTGAGACTGACTGGTCTGTGGTTCCCCAGGTCTTCTTTCTTTCCCTTTTTAAAAATGGGGGCTATGTTTCCCCTTTTCCATTTGGTGGGAACTCCACTGGACTGCCACAACTTCTCAAATATGATGGATAGCGGCTTAGCAACTTTATCTGCCAGTTCTCTCAGGACTTGCAGATGATCTCATCAGGTCCCATGGACTTGTGCACCTTCAGGTTCCTTAGATGGTCTCGGACCTGATCTTCTCCTACAGTGGGCAGGTCTTCATTCTCCCAGTCCCTGCCTTTGCCTTCTGTGACTTGGGCTGGAGCTCTTGCCAGTGAAGACTGAGGCAAAAAAGTAATTGAGTACCTCAGCCTTCTCCATATCCTGGGTAACCAGGTGTCCCATTTCCTTCTGGAGAGGGCCCACATTTTCCCTAGTCCTTCTTTTATCACTGACATATCTATAGAAGTTTTTCTTGTTGCCCTTGATGTCCCTGGCCAGATTTAATTCTATCAGGGCTTTAGCTTTCCTAACCTGATCCCCAACTGCTCAAACAATTTCTCTGTATTCCTGCCAGGCTACCTGTTCCTGCTTCCATGTTCTGTAGGCTTCCTTTTTGTGTTTGAGTTTGTCCAGGAGCTCCATGTTCATCCATGTAGGCCTCCTGATGTTTTTGCCTGACTTGTTTGCACCGCTCCTGAGCTTAGAGTAGGTGATCCTTGAATATTAATGCGGTTTCTTGGGCCCTTCTCTCTCCAGGGCTTTATCTAAGGAGTTTATTTTCTCCGATTCACAAAGATTTGGTGAAGAGCATTTGAACCATAGTTCGAATGAAGAAGTTCACAAATCGGATATATGAAAAGGCTGCTACCTACTGTTGATACAGATATGTTTGCACAAAGACCAGTGTATACATATATATAGATGGCAATGTTAATGTTATATATATCAACATACATGTAGCATGTGAGGAGTATGCTTATTCTCTGTCTACCTAGAAGAATATTTTTAGCCACATTTCATTAACTTCTAGGGAAAACACGGCTTCTGCTCTGAAACACAACGGCAGCAACACAAAAGTGTTGTGAAACAGTATGTAAGTTTTCATCCAGAAGTGTAAAACATAGAGTGATAGAGAAAAATGAAAATAAAGATAAAAGTACAAGAGAATAAGACATTATTTATAGAGTCAAGGACAAAAATAAGTAAAAATAACAGCTTATCAATACTTGATATTCCTTATAATCAATACAACTTAAAATCAAGAACTCATTTCTTCACTTAATTTTGCATCAGAGGTCTAAAAAATCAAAACTATTCTTATGTTAAAAAGAATAATAATGCTACAGTACCCTATATAGTAAAATAAACATATGCTGTGCTCATTTTTCAGGGAGGTACATGCCAGACTTTCATCCGTCATTTCAGGAGTTCAGTGTCTTACACATAGCATCTATTTGCACTAAATGTACCTAACGGTGCAGCTCATCATATTGTCCACTGTGCTGGGTTTAAGCGGTGGGGCTTTGGTAGCGGAGGAGGGGCTACAGGAACACCCTCTGTAAGGAGCTGCAAAAGCTTCCCCAGCTCCAAGTGGGACCCACCTCTGGCCAGGGCTGAGCTGATCAGTGCCTCTGTGAATAACGTGTTTAAGAAACCACAAAGAAACCTGCACCATGCGGGACCTGAAGTGAAGAGAGGGGGAGGGCGAGGGGCCTGGTCCCCAGGCCGCCCATGCAGGCAGATGCCCGTGCTGGGCCACCGCCACTTAAGTGGTGTGGCGCGGAGTGCTCCAAAGTTCCCTGATCCCAGGTTGCCCTCTGGGTGGAGTTCATTCTGCTGGGACTGCTGAGGTTCATCAGGCCAGTTGGGCCCAGTGAGGCTGCAGCAGAGACAGGGCTGAGATCTGAGAGAAATGGCTACACAGACACCAAAGTCAGCGAAGATGGAGCAGGAGGAGGTGTGCTGGAGATGAGATTTCCCTGCAGCGTGTGGTGAGATGGCAGGTGGCCCCCCCTGCAGCCCATGGAGATTAACAGTGGAGCAGAGACCCACCTGCAGCCCGTGGAGGACCCCATGCTGGAGTGGGTGGCTGTGCCCAAAGGAGTTTTTAGAGAACTATCGCCCATGGGAAAGGACCTCCATGTTGCTGGAGATTAATGCTGGAGCAGAGATGCATCTGCAGTCTGTGGGAAGGGACTCCGCACCAGGGCGGTGGCTGCACCTTAAGAAGCCATGACTCTGTGGGAAAAGCTGATGCTGGAACAGTCTGATGGGTAAGGACTGGATCCTGTGGGAAGGACTCATGTCAGAGAAGTTTGTGAGTAACTGTCTTCCGTGGGAAGGGATCCTATACTGGCGCAGGGCAGAAGTGTAAGGAGCCCTTCCCTTTGAGGAAGCAATCGCAGAATCAACACATGACAAACGGACCACAACCCCCATTCCCTGTCCCCCTGTGCTGCTGGGGGCAGGAGGTAGAGCTGGGAAGAAGGGAGGAATGGGGAAAGGTGTTTTTAAGATCTGGCTTTGTTTCTCATTATCCTCTCTGAGTGTGACTGGTAACAAATTAAATTGATTTGTCCCCAAGTTGAGTCTGTTTTGCTCATGGCCACAGTTGGTGGGTGATCCCTCCCTGTTCTTATCTCGACCCTCAGGCCTTTTTTTATATCTTCTCCTCTCCATCCTACCAAGGGGAAGGAGGGAGCAGCTGCAAGATGCTTAGTTGCTGCCTTGAACTAAACCACGACATCCACGAAGGGCTGTGTTAGCAAAGACGTTTAACTGACATCTATCCAAAAAGATCTAATAATAGCTATGCTCAGGCATTTATGCCTTAATGCTTTCTTCTAACCTGCACACCATTATGAAAGTGCAGGGTATAATATGAATATTCCTTTTTGATCCAGTATTGGTGCTGTTCTGAGTGCAGGATATGCAGCATATTTTCAGAGATCTGTGTCTTGCTACCAAGGCACAGGGGAGTGTTGATTTCCACTTGGAGTGACTAAACACACAGGTGTGATTCTACATACAGTCTGCTAAATCAGTATGTCAATATGAAGACATCTCAAAGGTTTGTGGCAGCACAAAGATTTGGTGAAGAGCATGAAAACTTTGAACTTTCAAGCCAGAAGACAGAATATCCCATTCAGAACCTATTTGTACCTCTCTGCTATCTGAAGTCCACCAGATAACATTCCTGAACATTTTGCCTCTTGAGGCTTGTGGTTCCACTATTTCTTTGCTCACCACTTTACCTTTGGAAAACCTGGAAGAATCCCTGGAGGAGATTTCCCCTTCCCTACTTACTTTAGGATTACTTGTCAGCATGCTTCCTGTCATGGATTCGTTCTGTGCCAAGAACAATCTCCCATATACCATGCAGATTTGGTGTAAGGGATAGCAGAAGCAAGGGATACACCTAACAGGCATTATGAACACACTATTTCATGAGGGAGGATAGCTTAGCTGAATAACCATGAGAGGTACCCTATTAATTCCTTATAAGGCCAGAAAATGCCTTCACTTATCTCCATTTATTTAGGAGTATAGACACAGTAACAGGTCTGACATTTTGCCTGCTGTTTGGTGCCTTTTAAGACAACCTCACTGTATAAATCAGTAAGTTACCCTTGATTATAAATTTCAATAAATAAAACATTAAATGCAAGTAAGTATCAGAAAAGGATGAAATGTAGTGGTAGAATAGAAAGAGAATACGCTGCGTTTATTATGTTGTGCTGCATATTCTGGAATGATTAGTAGGCCAAGTAGGATCTGGAAAAACAGACTGAGATGAACTGTTGAAGATATAGACATGGAAAAAAGTGACTTGAAATCAATAATCACTTAGATTTGATCATTAATCTGAGATTGGAAAGGCAGTTTAGTGATAATCTCCCTCAGTAAGAGAATAGAGTGAACGATCACAGTACAACTTGGAGCTATTTGGCATCTACAAAAGTCCAGTGTTAAATCAACCGCTGAGGCAAATTGTGGTTTCTATGTTTTAGCTTTGTTACACATAACACAGACTAGAAGAAAATTCATTTATATGTTTAATTATAGCTCCATTAGATATTCCTTCAGGCAGCAGCACTGAGCTCAATCGACATTCTCCTGACTTTGGAGATTTCTGCTCCAATTACTGGCATTGCCTAAAGCAGTTTCTCCTGGAGAAGGTACTGTCTCAGACACCTTGCAACATTAATAAAGTAGCAAGTGCTTCAGAAGGTTGTAAAATAAGGAAGTAATCACTCTAATCCTCACAAAGAATCCAACTTAAAATACCTCTGTAATTGATGATTTCTGTTCCAAGCACTGGGGTCATCTCCAGAACTGTGATGAAGGCCTTGTCCATAGATGTCAATGGGAATGGTGACATGCGGTGTCTTCTTGCTACCTTGGTAATGTCAACAGCACTGTGACCTGCAACAGGAGAGCACCAAGTTTATGTATGCTACAATGTGTAGATGCACACAGTGATGTTCATTTAAACCACTTTACTGAAATTAATCTGGCACTTTCAGGTAAATTAAATTAGTTAGTTACCATTATTATGTATTTATGTCGGGCACTGGAAAGGCACTGTACTCAAACAGAATCAAAAGAGAGATTTAAAACAAAATACAATTTGAAGTTGAAAAAGTTTCACAAAAGTGTATATCCTTACTTGTCATGAAAAACAGAACAGAAGCCTTGATGAGCATAAAAGGATCAGTTAATCGGAAACAGAAACCCTTCATGATGGTGCAGTGTTTTACCCTGCGGCTGACAATCTGAGGCTAACTCAGTTCTATGAACTATGAACTCAGGACGATTCACTCCTCGTTCTGTTCTCCACAAACACATCTCAATATGCTATGTGTGGTCTACAGACAAAATATAAAAAGGGACACTGTCCCAGTGAGTTTGCAATCCAAGAGTGAGACGGGAGTCAAAAGGTTTGAAAGGAGGATAGAGGGAAGCACAATGAAATCACTGGACAGTCAGAACAGCAGACAGTGTTTCCAGCGTGTGGGCATCCTACCTATTATCAAGATTTTGTAGCCACCATAGCAAAGTGATCTTTAAATGTATAATGAGTGAAGGTAGCAAAATATATTAACGGAAGCTTACTTTTCCCTAGCATGAGGGACAGGTTGGAAGAAAATATGACAAAACTTGTTTGAAAATGAAGCCAGCAGCATGTTTGATTTCTTGATGCTCACTGAGAGACAAAACAAGGGGACAAAAAGCTTTGAAGGCTTTTGAAAGGGAAGGGAAGATAAGCAACTGAAGAGAGGGAACTATTACAGGAATATATAAAGAACGATAACAGATACAAACAAAAAGATTAAGAAAATGACCTTTGTAGAAATATCTTGAATGGATTTGCCTAGAACAAGAAGGCATTTATGTGAGCCAAAGTGGATGATGTTCTATATGTAATACATAATGATATTCCTAAAGCAACATAAATTAAAATGATAGCATTAACAAATAATAGAAACTAATTTTTGATGACAAGATTTTGCTTTGCAGTAGCTACCTAAATATCTCATTTGCCTTTGCATTCTGGAAAAAATAGATTATTGCCTTAAGTGTAGTCTTCTAATGAAAAATAACTACAAAAATAGTAAAAGAATCGTGCAATCTAAGTTTTTCCTTCAGAAGAAAAGGTCGCTTAATCAATTTGTATATACAAAACTTCTTTCAGCACCGAGACATGCTTGTCTCTCTATGTAGGAGATTCATTAATTTATTTTTTGTCATTAACACAGTAACTATCTTTAAGTGGAAGAAGTACAGACAAATAAAACTGCCCACCTAATTCCAGTCCCAAGAAAGATTCTGGAAGAAATGATTTGAACAATCCCTTTGTACATATTTAGAAGATAACATGATGATAAAAGCAGGCACTGCAAATTCATTAAGCACAAATAATTTCTCACTGACTTAATTCCTTTCCTTAACACAGTAGCTGGCATACTGAGGAAAAGAGCTGATGAGATATATTTTAACTATATTACGACTTTTCACACTCTTAAACATGACTTGCTCGTAAGCAGACTAGGGAGAAATGATCCAAATTAAACTATTGTATGCTAAAAGTTTAACTAGTGGAAAAACTGCATTCCTGGATTTAACAACAACTTACATTTTTCACTATCATGCCTATATATTGTCAGTAACCTCATAAAAATGAGGAAAAGGAAAGGAAAACATTTGTGAGACAAACTTCCCATACCTTTCTCTGCACAGAGAAAGAAACCCTGCTTAGCAGCACCACAATTCCTGCAGGTCCAGCAGATTCCACACAACATATGTTAAAAATTTTTTCCTGACTGTAGAAATTAAGAAACTATTTTCTTAAAAGGAAAAGTTGAAAAAAATGAAGGAAGATGCTAGGAAAAAAATATGTCACAGCAGCAAAAGCTGGAGGAACTGTGTGGCAGCAAACAACTTTTATGTTACAGCCATTAGGTGCTTTAATGTTTATGTTTTACTGCTACCTAAAACTCACTGTTAGCTACTTCAGAAACTAACATTTCAGCTCTTTAACCCTTAAAACATGAATGAATTCAGAGGCTTTGAATGCTTTGAATTGTGTCCAGAGTACTACTTTCAGATTCTGAACTCTGTGTCTAATTCATGTGATTTGCTTAAGTCAAAGGTTCTGCTAAAATCTACTGAGAAATGTGTTCTTTAACACAGTTTTTTTTGAAACAGATAAAATCCTCTAATCTCTGACAACTTTGTTCCAACACTAAAAGTAACACCCAGTATTTCTGCAAGAGAAGCCAAGAAAATACACACTCAAAAATAGAATCCCTTCAGGTTTAACACTAGAATGGATAACCCTAAAGAAGAAAGGAATAAAGAAGTATGTGTAACTACTAACCCTTCTCTCTCCCTATTTCTTCCCACAAAGAAATGCTAACTTTTCTTCTAGAGGTAGCATACATTTAAACAGACCTGGAGACAAACAGATTTTTAAAATTCTAATATAACTAAGTGGTACTTTCTAATTACAAGGAAATGACATCAGACAGCTCAGACCTTCCCAAGTTATCTTTCACTAATGTCAAATGTCAGATAGCTCTAAAGATAATTATTTACAATAAGCAGCATTTTGTATGACAAAATAATCCCCTAGCTTTGAAGCAGCTAAGTCAATTGGTTGCAAAAGGTAGAAAATTCCTGACAGCCTTCCCTCTTATCACCAAAGCAACTATTTCTGTTGTTATATAGATATATACATACGGTGGATCAAATTTTAGATGAGGAAAGATTCCCATAAAACAAAGGAAAGGACTTGTGCAAAGAATAGGTCATTTGGATCAAACCTGAGTTCTTAAGCCTTTGCAATTTTGGTTTGGTTTTATGTAACCCAACATTCAATTTCATGTTTTGGTATGAAAATAAAAATCATATATATTCAACTTGAGAATGTCTATTTTCATTGTCTTTGAGTGTTGATTCTTTTTGCCCATAAAACTTGCACATACATGATGATTTCAACAATACATCATCACAAACAACACAGACCTCCACATCATTAGAAGAACAACTTGGAAGAAAAAACTAAAAGGCAACTATCCATTACTACATGAACACTACGAGCTTTTTACACTTTTATTTTCTCTTTGCAAACTCACTTATGTCCCAACCATATCTTTCTCTTCTCATCTGACTATCATTTGCTGTCTTCTGAGCGATCTTAGTTTCTCAATAGAGTTATGAAGTTTCAGTACTTACTTGCTCTGAGGATATTTTCTTTGCTGCTGCACCTAGACTGGACCTGCAGAGAGAGTACAGAGTCTATGAGCTACAGAAGTTAACAAGAATGCAAAATATAGAGCTATAATGGGCAAGCTCCTGGGATCTAAGACAGAGGCTATACATACTTTCAGCAACACTCTTACATACTCTACATGACAGAAATATATTTAAGCAGAAGGGTAGTGACTGATAGTCAGAATCTGATATAAGCAATTTGATTCTACTACCCGCCCCAAAAAAGAAACAAGATGGCCTAAGGACAGTAACAGAGTAAAATCAAAGAACACAGTGGTTAAAATCATGTGTTAAGCTCCAGTTTTAAACAGAAAATCCACATCTTCTCATACAACTGTAATTACAGTAACTCTGTACCTAAGTCCTGTTTTATGATTAGACAAAATACTAATGTAACTATATTATCATGACCTGCTTTAACAGTCTATTATTGATATTTTCAGGTATTACAGAAAGAGTTTAAAATACTCAATTTAGATTGTGTTGATTATGAAGATATTTAATAAGACTTCTTTGCAATTGCATAAGCAATTCACAGTTGCATAAACAGCTCCTGGCTGGAGCCAGATAAATTTACACAGTTCTTTCTGTTTGGTTAAAAGAAATACTATGTTCAGTATGAATTTTACAGTGCACTTCTACTTTAAAAAGTAACTGTGTGAGAATTACAACTGGTTTCTCAACAAATCTTCTTCCTAGATGCTTAGGTGCCACTGTGCTATTCCAGATATGTTAGTCGGACTCCAGGGAAATTGATCTAATAGGTCAAATATTCTACTAACACTGGATATTAGAGTTCCATCTCTTTTCCATGCAGATTTAAAAAAGAACTGGTTTTTTTTGAAGAGTATCAGTCCTGTAAACACAACACAGATTAAACTTTATCTATATTGAAGCATCAGCTCTTGTTAATTCTTCTCAAGTTTGTAAAGATAGCACATTGTATAATAACACTGAAGTTGCAAGCTTTTAGTTGAACTAATGTCAACAGCAGTCTATCTTCTGGCAGGTTAGCTGACTGAATAAAACTCTTGAATAAAAAACTTTTTGTGTGGACAAAACCCCAGCTGAAGTAAACTTCACAGGAAGACAAACCTCTGATAGAGTATGAATGGAATCCTTCTCTTTTTTACTTTATTGACAAATCTATTGCTAAATTTCAGTGAGAGGACTAATAAAGTAAACCCGTGTACACGTGGTGAAAAAAGTGGAATAGCACAGGTGACGCTGAGGGTGTAATTTCCCTGCAGAACATTTGTCTCTGCTGAAAAAGTGAAGGAGTGAATCCAGATTCCCTTTCAGATTACAGTTTCAATTTGCAGTTACAGAAAAATTGCCTAGAAAGTGAACATATATGATCTCACAATTGATGAAGATTGGTGCACACTCAACCCCAAAAAAGCTGTATTCATAAAGGAACGATCATTTAAGGCCGAAACCAACTGTGTCCCAACATCTAAACCTCTTTCTTCTGTTCCACAGCAGCTTGCCCCAAATGTATATTCACATTAAAAAACTGGATTCTACAGTGCAACACAGTCTACTTATTGTAATGGAATAACTTATGGAAAGTAATGTTGCAACTTAGAGTGGGTTATGGTGTCCTTCCTTGAAAAAAACTGTTGTTTAAAAAAAAAAAACAATAAAAAACCCCCAGAAAAAACCCAAACCCTCCCTCCTTCCCACCAAAAATACTCTACAAGAAAACCGCAAACAAAATATTAATGATGCCCAAATTTGGCCCAGAGTTGTTTTACCAGATTTCAAAGGCATGACATGAACTCTTTTTGGAAGAAGAAAATATTTACCTATAATTTACCAAAGGACAATTCTGGACCAAAAAGATGGTATAATGGTAGGAAAGAAAGCACAAAAGATAGAGAGGCTCAGATTGACAGAGAGAGAGAGGAGGGGGAGAGAGAGAGGCAGGATGGATGTGGCAAGGCAGAAGATGGTGTGTGCAAAAGGAGACATGGGCCTATATGTGTAAGACTACTGTTTAAAATGGAAGAGGCTCTCTTATTTCTCACTGAAAACCACATGAAAAGAGAAAACGAGGAATGGGCCTGCTGCAAAATAACCAAGCGATTCAGCAAACTGTGGAATGAAACTCAGTGAGATAACATAGTCCTAAAGAAAAAGGCAAAAAACCAAAAATACAAAACACAAACATTTGAAACAATCTACTAAAACAAACTAAGTAAAATAGGTGATCCAAAGGACACAGATAAAAGCTACTAGAGAAGGAGGAAAAATGTTAGCAGACAAAGACAGTGCTAAAGAAGTAAAATGGAAGTCAAGAGAGAGTCTTCAACAAAGTGGAGGAACAGAAGGAGCCCAAACCCATAGCGCAAAGCAATGTTTGCGAATGGAAAACAGCTCCTTTGAGCAGTAATAGTTACTCTCGAGTTGTAGCCTCTATTCCTCCTCAGTTCATCTTTAAGCCCTTCCAACCTATAGTGGAGCTAGTGTATGGACAAAAACAAGAGATTTATAATGAACAGAGCAGCTGAGATTTGCAGATCAAATCTTCTAATATAAAAAACGTGCTGACAAAGTTTTGCTCTTACAGTGTCCAAATGACAATGGTAACAAAAGACAGCTGGCTTCACACACAGCCTCTTACAGGTCATTTTTTTAATTCTGTGCACACAGAGGACTTCAAATGTACTTTCTGATTTCTTACACCCAGCCTACAATTTCCATGTTATCACTCACCTGATGGGCAACATATGCAGTATGAGAAATTATTTGCTTCCCACAAATTTTAAAAGCAGCTGTGGAAGAGGAATCCATGATAATAAAATAAAAGGCTTGATCAGCTAGACTTGATCGTTTCCCAACCTATGCTCACAGCTGCAGAATACAAACCATGTTTTAACATAACTGACATAAAAATTAGTTATTACATAATACTTCTGTTTGTTTAAAATTAATTGCACATTGATATTCTAAATGTTATTTTCAAACAAAATTGCAGTAAAATATGATTTTGAATAAAACCCACCAGTTTTCTAACATATAAAATTTTAGCAGCAATGGAGCTTTGTATAAATGGGATCATGTGCTTTAAGTGCCTTTTATCATATTCATTATTTGTACCTTTTATTACTTTGTTATTGGTGACATTTATGAAAAATCTGTCTTCTTTTCACAGCTACTGCTAAGTAAAGAATCTATATCACATTGCATATAGTACCATGACTGACTGGGGCGAGTGATTAGTAGTATTATTTACTATAATGCTTCTCATTCACAGGTAGTTACAGAAATAACAACCTATGGCTGTCTCTCCTTTCACAGAGAAAGTATAGGTTTATTGTTTGTCCATTCTACAGCCTCTTGGCTCACAATGTACCTTGGCAGAAGATACAGTGGGCTACCAGCCAGTACCATTCCCCTGCATAGTTCAGGCAGAATGTAACCAAACCCAAAGCATTCAATTCACATTATTCTGTTTTTTATGATATAATTTCACCATGCCAGAATGCAGAGTAAGCTTTCTCCCATAGGCTGACGTAGTAAATAGAATGTGAAACAAAGTACTCAAAAATAAATTAAGAGAATGATAAAATAAAGAGTCCTG